CCCCCCCCCCCCCCCGTACAAACGGATTTTTCTCGAGTGTAACTGGTATGTTGTACAAAACGCTGTAGGTATCTAACGTTGCAACTCGCGAATCGAGCGGACGCTTTTAGTCCATCCAGAAAGGGGTGGTAATTTGGGCTGCAAAACTGCATTTCGCGCGAAATATCGATTCTTGTCGCAAAGCTCCTCTGGTTCATGAACAGAGTGCTTGGTCGGGTGGAGTCACGGAGCCACCAACCGCCAAGGGGCCCTCCCGCCGGAACCCATGGACACCCCCCAGGCTGGGCGTCAACTTTGGTCGGGGGGGGGAGGGATGTTCCATGGTTTCCACTGATAGGGCCCGTTGCATCCACCTCAGGTTCTCGCACGATAAGCCCACCCGGGTTCAAATGGGGAGGCGTTGAATCATCGCGACCTTATCGAAGTATGAAGGCTGAACACGTGCTCAGCTGCTCAGTGGGGTGTGGATGCCTTCGGGGGGTCCAAATGGCCAAAGGATGCATCCAAACGAAGCCCTCGGTTATTAGAAAACATCAATGTGTTCTCGTGCCTGCTCTGTAAGGTGGCTTACTACTTTCCGGCGACTAAGACTGATGCACTGTCAAAATATGAGCCAAACGACAATAGTTTTAGCTAACTTGTTGCAGCAAATCCCCTTGACTGCTACTGCTGTTGTGTTGTTGTAACGGGCACTCTTTCGGTCATTGTATGCGTATTTCATACTTGGAGGTACTTCCTAAATGTATTTTTAATGAGCCGCGGAGCGCGAAGCGCGACCTTTTTTCCTTCATTCCCAGGAGAAAAAAAAACGCTCTATACATCGGCCTATTTCGCCGCACGATACAGGGGCCTTAAAGTTTTATTTCCGGGAAGCCTATTTAGCACACCTTTGGGACCAGCGCGAGATCTATCTTAAGGTTAGGGTTAGGTATATGGCACTGTTTGACGATCTGTTCGCTTTTGAGAAAGAAAAAAAATGGCGTGCTCTTCTCCACACCGGTTTCGTCGTGCTCCGACAGCGGATGGCCGTGCTTCACCAGCATATGTGGCCTAAAATCGTAGCAGATCTTGCTCCCCAACCCCGGGGTTTCTACGCGAAAAGGCGTGCACAAAAGCGGAGATCGCGCGCGGGCGATTGAAACCTGCAGGAGACACAGGGACAGTCAGAGACAACAACACCTCCAAAATCACATCACCGCTGGGACGCTGATCCGAGACCAGCCATCTATGAAAACCAGGAGGGGCCGGGTCTGTACAAGACCTGTGCGCCGTGTGTATAGTCATGCGCCATGTGTAACCTGGCGGGTGTTTACGTATTGATGTTGAGTGGTCCAACCGACTGCTCTAAAAACAGCAGCAGACCGATGATCACAAACGAACAACACACAACATAACACACATTCCCAAGTCCAGAGATCGCACCTACCATCGAGAGAAACCGTCGAGGGCCTGAGGGTCTACTGCTGCTGCGCGTTGTCAGGATGGTTCCCCGTGGGATCGGTCCAGGTTGCGTCCTTGCGCCGCGCTACTGACAGTCTTCGCAAAAGCCGTGCCCTGCCTGCTGTTGCTGCTGGTGGGTCTCTCGCATCAAAGTCATGACCATCAACAGCTTTGTTGTTTTTGGTTCATGCTGTACAGCAGTGGTAGTTTTGTTCCGTGATGTATGATACAAGATGTAGGCTGCTTGCTTTCGCTCGGCGAGAAACTCAGAAGGCTTTTGAGACGAATATGGCGGGCAAGTTGTGAGCCTGACGCAATATTTGCCATCTGCCTTGTCACAATCCTATGTCTACGCTGCTGGTCGTGCTCCTCGACGGTGGAATGTGTGATACGCTCGCCGCCATGTATATGCCGCATGCGTGGCTCTTCCAGATGCCCAGATGTGCGTGTTTGCGTCCGCACAGCGGGAAGACTTCACATTTTGTTTCTTCGTGGGCGTGTGCATGGTGCATCGACGAAAAGACACAACCGCATGTAAAGTGCTATTGTTTGAACGGGGGGCGCACATACAACCATCGCCGCACCCGTCGTACCCCTGCGGCCTGTCCCTCTGGTGCACGCATAGCTGCACCACAAACGATTCACGCTGCTGTGTGTCGGGATTCGTGCACCATCAGCATCGCAGATAAGACTACTGCAAGGTATTGAGTCGCTACCCCGCGGCTCATTACCCCGCCCTATCTAGTACTGGTGTTGGTCTTGTTTGTCTAAAATATATTCCTCTCGACGATATACATTATCTGTTGTGAAGAGCTACAGCAGCGCACCGATATGTATGTGGTACGCAGCAGCAGCCTACGAAGGGCACTCCGACGCCCACGCCTCCGAATGGACCGGCGTCAAAGATGGCCAATGTTACGAAGAAGGTGCGAATATAATTCAGCCAAGAAGGACTCATGCCCCACCGTGCCTTTCTTTCTTGTCTCGAGCAACGTATTACTGTTGCGAGTCAGCTAGAGCACAGAGCACAGAGCACAGCACAGGCAGGGGTGCGAGCGATTTCCAAAGCGCAATTTCTCCACAACCGGGAGGTTACCACTGTCGAAAAGGGCGGTTTTGGAAATATCTCATCGAGAGCTTTCCTGAGAAGTATCAGTTGGCGCTCGCACCCTTCTGGTTGTGGAGAAATTAGGCTTTGAAAATCGATCGCACCCCTGTGCGCTGGCTCGCGACCTTACGGTAATATGTGCAATGGGGAAACGTTTATTGCGCCGCAGGACAGTTTTGTCTTTGACCCAATAGAGAACTAAAAGGGGATGCCTGTACACACGCGTTTGTACTTACTAGCACCAGCTGGTGTATGCATATCACTGACATAAATCATCCGTGGTAGACTTAAAAAGACTTGAAATAAGTCCAGTACCCGGCCAGTTTTCCTCCACTCACTGCAAAGACTACCACATTCCGTTCGTCTGCTGTGGGTGTATATTTCCTCGTATGCATAGTATGTATCCAAGATAAAAAAGCAACGGCAGAGGTGCAGGGTAAAATATGGAATTTTTTTCTTTTTTCTCCCATCATTGGATTCTGTCGTCTGCCCCTCTGGTCCCTATCCTCCACTTCTACTAGCCAGACGACGCAACCGGGGTCACACAGGAGGGGGGGGTTGGACCCCCTCCTGCGGTGTATTTCGTCTTGGCAGATCCCCAAAAGGTAGACTACTATTCATTAGTCTACATGCGAAGATATTTTGTGATCTGATCTTAAACTACAGCTGTGATGGCAGTCTGTTCCTCGTCCTTCGATCAACTGGTGGAGTCGGTGTCCCACGAGGCGTCCTTGTAGCTTTGGATCAAGACTCGGCCTTCAGCCCACGATGAGTTTTATTCGATGTATGCATACAGTAGTACATGCCAGATTACATGCCCTGCTGCCGCTGTGTTGTGGGGAGGGACCAAACCTTCATTTTTGAACGCTTCAGCTTGAATTTTCCAATCCTCCTCTTCTTGCGCATCCTGGCCATGCTTCTCCTTTGCTGCTCCAGCATCAGCCATATCCTCGATCAGTGGTTAAACTGCGCCCTAAGAAGCCTCGCTTGCAAGATGGTGGGCGACGGCGGGACGGTGCGGCTGATGACAAGATGACAAGTCACAAGACACCGGGACGAGGGGCACACAACGACCGGACCCGTCTCGGTTGAGGGGGGGGCTTGTGAATAACCCCCCCTCTCCCCCGCTATGTAACCGCCGACGGAACTATGTAGGCTCGACCACCTTATCGCATCGTCAACGTCACCGTTCGTAAAAACACACGTGTCTAGGCCGCGACACGTGCGTACCTTGTACCCACGGGCCTGATGGATATCGGATCAAGTGGATGGATGAGAAATGTTGATCAGATCGCTCGGCAGATGGAGGAAAAGCTGAGTTTGGAGGGGACCGTAGTCGTTCAGAGAGCGAGCGAGCTGCAAGCGGAAGCGCAGAAGGTGATGTGCTTGTGATAACTCGACAGCGAGCTAACCACACGAAGTGTTTGTACCATATCTATCACGGAAATATCATAAAGGCGGCACAACGTGGTTTGGCGTATGTTAGGTCTTTTCTTTCCGCAAACCCTCATGCGGTGAAAACCATGGACACATGTACTAGTCTACTGCTGTGCTGTACTCCGAAGGAGTATTTTTCGGCAGCTGCTATAAGACTTACATAGACTAGGCGATGAATGAATATACAGCAGTTGTAGTAACGACATGTTCAGCAGACTATGTTGCATCTATATGTACACTAGCCATGTACGGTCACACACCATCATGAAGCCACTCGTACAGAGAAATATTTTTTGCGTGAGCCCAGATCGAAACTCTTCAACGAAAGAAAAACGGGCAAAGGAAGCTACTACAAGTAGTCTAGATACATCTACTTAGTGTGGTGACGGTGAATGGGAAAGTAGATATCAACCAGCTAAATAAACGCGTTTCCGCCGTATTTTCTCGACCTCCAATACCACGCCCCTCAGCTGGCTCGGCAACGTGCCTTCCTACGAGAAGAACGGCGACGAGCTCGCATGTGAGCTGCCCACTTTTCCTTAATATTTCATTCTGAAAGTGTGCAGGAAGGTAGATCGAGTAGACTGTGTTTTTGGTGAGCTTGTGCCGAGGCAAAAGTTATCTAATAATGTAGATGTGAGACGTTGATTGCAATGAGATTCAGAGTGTTGTAGTCTGCTGATCTACTGTCATTCAGTGCTTTCCGTCCACTGACCATTCGTCTCAGGGATGAGGAGGTGCTTCGGCTGGAAAAAGCCGACTTGAGCATGACGAAAGATGACGAGTGGATTCCAGCGGAGTGCCTTGCACACCACTCCGAGAAGAGAGTCAGACTTAATGTTGGCGGACAGGTGTGAAATGTTGACTTCGGATTCTGCACTAATTGCTTTTCGTAGGGAATAAACCTTCCTCGAACGCCCAGTTTTCTGACATTGACACTAGACTAGTTATGTACAAGTAGGACTTTTGGAAACCATGAAATAATTACGTCGTCGATAGAAGGTTCGCCGTGTGGTAATGTGTTGAATTCAGTGTATGTTTCAGCTTCAAGACACACAGTAACTTCGTGCAGCGTTGCAAACCCAATTCTTTGAAGAAAGTCTCCGCATGTAGGCATCCATACGTGAGCTGCGGCATAGTATACGATGTGTGTGGATGTGTTGCTCGAGGTGAAATCCGACCTTGGAGCCGATCGCCAGTTTAATTAGGGCTTGGAATGGCTTGCTCACCGAACGCTAATCGTCTTGTTAGATGTGCAGCCTCCGTAGTGAATGGTTGGGTTGAGCGCGAGGTCCCATTCTCCGGGCAATGCAGTACGAATATGCCTGCCTTCCACTGAGGATAATGGGCTCAACAACTACGATGGACCGATCAATGGACCACGTGCGTGCAATGCAACAACTTTGCAAGGTCTCGATCTTGTTTTATGCAACTCCAAAACAATTTGCCGTTGGAATCTTATATATTTTTCTGGCCCCTGTCTCTGTCGTCCTGATGTCTAGCATGACCCTTATTTTAGTACAAGTAGTGCACTTGGGAGCCCACTGCCTTGTATCAGCACGATACGCGGTATCTCAAACGACATGTGCACGTGTTGATTCTCGTTGGCAGAAAAAAGTGAACGCCGGTGGGGGGGGGAGGCGGCTACTGCAAGGAAGGGATGAAGGACTCGGCCAGTTCAGTAGCGCACCTGGGCACATGCTTACTTCCATGGGTTTCACGTGGAGAAAACTTTCATAACTGCACCTGGAAATTACGACTCAGCAAACCAGCAAAGTTTCGCTACAAAAATGGATTAATCTTTGTTTCTCATTGCGGGCAACGTAGCAACGACTTGGTTTCCTCCACGTCTTGCGTCAGCACCATGTATGGCGCAAAAACGACCGGACCCCTTTCGAAGATCTAATGAGTGGACCGAGGCCCAGCAAATACGAATCGGTCGGTTGAGGGCCTGGCTGTGGTTTGTCTCACGAAGCCCCTGGGTTCAAGGCGTTTTCTTTACCATCAAGTTCGCGACGTCTTTCTCATGCCAAAGCTGCTCTTTTTCCTTTGTGATTTTGATTTTTCAGCTTCCTCTCATGGGCTCCCCCATTCCCGCTATTGCCGTAGCTTTTCGAGGCGTCGACAACTGTCCTTCGACGAGATCCTGCTTGTCTTCTGGCCGCTCTCTGCCACGACGGCGGACCGCTGAAAGCAGACCTTGACGGTACCATCAACGTTGATAGAGACTGGTGAGCTGAGGTACTCCGAGGATCTCAACCGTGTGGAAAAATATGTGTTGCTCGAAGCATGTGAACGGTTTGTCAAGGGGGGAGGTTGGTACCACAGACTTAGTGGCCAGACTGGGTGACGTCTTTGGGGAAATGTGCTCATATCAAACCAGACACAGCAGTAGTGGTAGTATGCATCAATGTTTTCCACGCCACCTATGTTGAAATACAGTGCATTACTCGTGTGGGATGTGTAGCAATACAGATGCAGCTGTATGATTGCTGTATGCAATCATACATAGATTCGGTGTGACGTAACGTCTGGCAGAGCGCAGCATGTAGCGACGAGTAAAGCGAGGAGCTCGTGAATTGATTGATTGTTGATCGTAGGCATTGTAATTGTAGCGAGATCACGAGGTGTCGAGAGCCCCATCCCCATCAGGCTCACTCCCAACTACCAACATCTCACTCTGCAAGAAGTCTGTGAACTGAACAAGACTGAAAACAAGTAAAAGTCCCAGAAGCGGCAGTAGCAACAATACGATATCGGTCACTGCCTCAACAGACTTCGGTCCGATAAGACTTCGGTCCTGAACACTATTACACAGACTTCTGTCTGGAACTGCACAAAGACTTCACCGCCTGCAGACGACCCTTGGGTACAGGGCACCTTGACACTACACACTTCTACAAACCATTCCGGTTGAATGGCATCTCTCCGCATAAGGTATTGAATAATTTATCTGCCCTACGTGCTTCGCAGTGAACGAACTTTGCATAGGTTTCAATTACTATGCAGATCCCAACAGGCGTAAATCGTACGCGATGCCACCTGTCCGTATGAATGAGTTACAATAAATAGTTTTGCAGTTGTTTTCAAGAACGCCGATGCGCTGTTCTATAGGCATGCCCACATAATGTGGTGGTATCATTTTTCGTGTGCGGATATGCTTTGGAAGTGCCTCGCATGGGTGCTTCCCGTGACCTCGGTGAGTTGTTATTCTGGGAATGCATTCCCTCTATCGCAGGTGGGTGTTTCGGTATATCATCAAGTTCCTGCGGGACGGAATTCTACCTACTGACACGACGCTGCTGACTCAGGTAAGAGCGTCCGAAGTGTCTTACGATCAGTTTCGGGGCTGTGGGTTTCCCGGAGAATGCGTACATCCCTCAACGAGTTGAGATATCCTGCCCACTCCAATAGCGTGTGTTTGGTTGTTTATACTTCTCGGTCACGCACGAGATCTGACTACTATATAAGCGCATGGATTGGGGTAGCATATCAGTATAACACATGTGGACTATTTATGATTCGACAAGGCGCTGAAAATCTCAACATGGCCGCTGAGGGCTATCGTTATCCGCCCCTGATTGCCACGAGGTGACACTTTTGCAAACAGGACAGGACACTTTATTCCGTCCATGTGCTGTCAACAGCATCCTCCTTGCATCAGTTGTCCAACATGAGTCACTGCAGGAAACAGTTCGGTCGTACTTGTAGCCACCATCGATGGCTCAAATTCCTCAACTCCTGATCGGCACGGACCCCCTCTCCCCGACAAACGACCCAAATGAAAGGACCTCCTTGACTGGGGCCTGTATGTATTTATGCGACTGCCTTTCAATGCCAAGATGCTGGCCCGCGTAGACTCTCGCGCAACTCTCTCGGTATCCGTGCTGAAAGAGCCACACGCCAGTCCGAAATCGTCGAACCTGAGTGTGCATGCGTCACAAGAAATGGCGTCGTACTTCTGGACAGGTGTAGCGTTTCTCCCATTTTATTTAAATGGAGAAACCCAACTTGGTCGTGTGCTGTCGGTAAAATGGCGATATGTGGCAGATAGAATGTACTTCAATACTTCACGAAGCGTGCTTCACGAGAAGATAAGTCTAGAGCATTGGCCTGTGCTCATTTTGTATTGGAAGCGGAACACGCCACAGCGCACGCAATATCAAGATCAAGTTGCAAATTCAACCACATATCGAACAATTACGTGGTAACCTACAAAAGACGCCCTCTATTTTTCGAAAACGATAATGATTTTGTTTCGATTAGGGCTTAGGCTTAGTGGAAGATGCGGGCGAGCGACTCAGAATGCAACCAATTTGCTGTGCCTCAGGTGATCGCCCTCGTCAGTAATTGCCCCTGAAACATCAAAATACACGTCATCATCAGTTGATACTCTCGGGTACTTTGTGCACGTTACGTGAACAGCTCTATCGTGAAGCTGGATACTGGCGTTGCGAATCATTGAAGCGCGCCATCGAGGAGCAGATGCACTTGTACCGCTCCTCGCTTGGAGTTGGTGCTAGCGGTGGTGCACAAGACAAAACGAAAGGCACGGAGGTACGTCCAACCTCTGGTTGGCGAGAATGATCTTTTGCATAAGAAATTTGAACCGGTTGCATTTGCTGCACGTTCAAATATCCAAATGCTCCCGTTGTGATGGGAACATATTCCTGCCCCAGTGTCTTGTTGTTTTCCGAATTTTCCAGCAGGAATATGTTTTAATTGCAATCGGCAAACAGTTCTTTCCCCAGAATGATAGCCTAGATCTGAATTATCCGAAACGGCCATGTCGTGGCGAAACCTAGGCCCCAAGATTATTTAATGGGACAACAGGGTCGAAAGTTTAGACGGGGAGCGACAAGGTTAGATGGCTCGGTAGACGTTGGTCTACCAAATAATCGCTTGCATCCAGAACCCAACAGCTGGCACAATTGTAGTCTGGAGGGTTCTCGAGCGTCCTTGGTGCACGGCCATGACGCTCTGAGGGCGCTGATGGCTGCCAGCACTCTATCAGACGTGTGATTGAAACAAGTTGGTCTTTGCAGAACATGCGTCCTGCCACTCGTCGGAAGCATGATGAAGCCATGAGTGGACGACGTCCCGACACCTCTTTCACTCCATTATTAACACTCCAGCATGGACACACTTCCATGCTCCCTGCCATCCATAGCCGCTTCTCGCATCTGGTGGTGGGTGGGATGGCTACGGGGTGATTCAATCAAAAGCTAGATATGTTCTCGCTCGCCATCGTCTTGATTGCGGCCGAAGAAACACTTCCACTTCAAGTAAACCCGAACACTAGATAGCGAACTGTTTAGAAAGAGCTCAGTCGTGCGTGCGACGCCTCTAGCTCCTTGTCGAAGCACTCCGGTGCATCCACTTGCACCCGAAGTACACCATCGAGCGCAGCTGACGGTACCGAATGTAGACTTTGACAAGTTGACTGCGGAGGGAGATATATGCGTGGATACGATCAGTCTTGGCTCGAGGTGTCACGGGCGTTGGAAAAGGCATGCGCTTAGTTTCTTTGTGGGCACGAAAATGACGGCCAACGCCCTTAGGTTTAGACATTCGTCGCTATGAGATTTTGGTTGGATTTGCAGAGTGAGAGACCGATGCGCGTCATACAACGTGAGTCTTGAGGGGAAGAGGAAAGACACCGCACACCGAAAGATCCTCAATGCAAAATTCGGTAATTCGACAGCAGATCCGTGTGATCAATGGGGCAGAATTCTTTTTTTCTGTCAACGTTGTTGTTTGTTGTTGTTGTTGTTGACTTCACATTAAACCGTATGCCAGTTGCTAAATAAATGCCAAAATCTAGCAAAGACTCTCAGCCCGTGGTCACGAAAGTGCTAGAGCCATCTGAGGATCTAAAGAACACGCACACGTAGCAAGAAAAAGGTATCCAAGAGCCCGAAGAGGTACTACTACACCTATATATAATCCCTGCAGCACCGTACGCGTGCCCAAAACTGAACTACACGTCCGTCTCACCGTTCGACTACAGCAACA